TGAGATCTCTCTAGTGGACAAAATGATACGATCTGCATCGTTCAACTTTGTCACAAAATATCATAGAGCAGATCAAGCTTGAATACCCCGCTCCTAGGCAACTAGGAGCAGAGAGGGCGGTAAAATCTGTTCTTGTAGGATTATTCGCAATTTGCCATACGCCGGCGTATGACTATTTTAATTACCCTAGTTTCTTTTTGCCTGGTGACCGAATTTTCTAATTTTATGTAACTCCCATTTAATAAAAATGCAAATTTAGCATGAGAAATAGCATTCTCTGAAAAATGGTTAATGATGGTATTTTACTGTATCTCGGAACATTCTCACTTTGTTCAGCGAAGTCGCAAGATGTGTATCTGTTCAAATAGTGTTGTAGGTCATCTTCATGGTTTTAATGTTCCTTATGATTCAGTACCCAAAGAACTGGACGGCCAGTCGGAAATTCTCCAACTCACGGCTGTACTGATGTAGTAAAGTTGGAGACGATCTTAATTTATTTGGTCACAATGAGGTAGAGGCAAAATAACACAGTGATAACACACATCGGTCATTTAAACAGCATTATATAATTTAACGTGCTGCATATACTCTAGGTATAATTATCACTTCCCTTACTGTACTCTGGGAGTAAATGGTTAGAAGCTGCCTGGGGCATCAGTTACGTACTGAAATATTTATACTTCTGTTGGTGCTTCAAACTGTAATACCGGAATTAGAGTTAGTCGTATTATTCGAACTTCTCTTTTTACTTATTCAGAGATGGGCCGATATTACCATTAAAATTCAAAGATTTTATTTGTGTGAAATATATCCATTTCTGGTCCTCACGAGCAAATAGTGGACCAGTGTCCCATTTACCATTTAGTGAGGAGTATTACGTGACGGGAAACAGTTGCAGCCGGACGTCGTCACGTTGTTAGCTATGATCACTCGCCTCTCCTCAGTCACAAGATGTTTTCGGCACATTTCTGCTTCATACGCTCTGCTTAGACAAGATGATGTATATAAAAATACTTAACCATTCTATCATCATCATCATCTTCCATCGCCGCTTCTTCTTTAGGGTCACGGAGGCAGATGCGTCAGACAGTGCTTCCAATCGTGTGCCTGATCGTGTGCCAGAGTCTGAGCTTCGGCAGAACACAAATAGAGTCTCGAACAAACTTCTTT